ACACGGTCTTGCTCTGTCGCCCAGGCTAGACCAGGCTGGAGTGCAGTGGTGCGATCTTGGCCCACTGCAACCTCCACCTCCCGGGTCCAAGTGATTCTCCTGTCTCAGCCTCCCGTGTAGCTAAAATTACAGGCATGAGCCACCACGCCTGGCTAACTTTTTGTATTTTAGTAGAGACGGGGTTTTACCATGTTGCCTTGGCTGGTCTCAAACCCCTGAGCTCAGGAAATCTGCCTGCCTCAGCTTTCCAAACTGCTAGGATTATAGGCATGAGCCACCACACCTGGCCAACATTTTCAAATGCTCAGACTGTTTTCTAGATTAGTGTGAATCATGTTAGCCGTATTGACATCATTTATTTGCTTCACACTTTTTTCTTCATAAAGAGAAGGTAAACCTCAGTTCAGCATCTTTTGATTTACTGCAAATTTTAAATCAGCCACAGCTATGTTAATGAAACTTTAACATATTGCCTTAGTTAAATGCTGATGAGATGAAAGAAAAATACATATGCCAGATATATTACATATGTAGCCTTTAGTATGCTTTTAGTTTGAGCTTAGAAAGAGATTCTGTGTGTTTCGAGGACTTTAACAATAGTAGAGGCCAGGTGCAATGGCTTAGGCCTGTGAGCACTTTGGGATTCTGGGAGGCTGAGGTGGGAGGATCGCTTGAGCCCAGGAGTTCAAGAACAGCCCTGCTAACTACTCTACCAAAAAAAGAAAAAAAAGAAGTTAAATCTTGGCTGGGCGTGGTAGTGCATTCCTGCAGTGCTAGCTACTGGGAGACTTGAGGTGGGAGGACCACTTGAGCCTAGGAGTTAGAGGTTACAGTGAGTTATGATCATGCCACTATACTCTCCGGCATGGGTGACAGAATGAGATTCTGTCTCAAGAAAGAAAAAAAAGAGAGAAAAAACAATGCAGTCTAGAAAATTTTAAAGCAATAATAATCACCTGAATTTACCTCAGATAGCGTGAATTTAGGAAGTAAAATTCAAAATCCTACATAGATATTTAGACGTAGTCTCTTGGTTTCAACCAGGAGTACTCAGCAACCCCATTGGCTACCCAAGATAATAAAAAGACAAGGGAGCAAATGTCAAGGGTTATTGTTAAAATGGTTGTCCAGTAAAGAGAGTAGTGATCAGGGTGAATTGGAAGTTGATATGATAATAAAGTTAATGAATGAATTCACAAGGAAATAAACAATTGTGAGAGTTATATCAACAGAGCTTTGAGATGCTAGAGAGGTGGAGTAGTTTTGAATGACTGGATCTGAGGGATTGCCTTAGTAGTGGATAAAAGTTGAGATTTTCAGTGTCCAAGTTGGTTAAAGCAGAATCATGATATGGGGGAGGAAGACAGAGCAATATGACCAAATAGTGGCCTTCAGCAATTGTCCCCCAGCAGGAACATCAAATTGAAAAACTGTCCACACAAAAAAGCACCCCCATAAGAACCAAAAATCAGGTGAGCAATCATAGTACCTAGTTTTAACATATTAAGGAAAGAAGCACTGAAGAGGATAGGAAACACAGTCTTGTATCTCCTACACCACCCCTCCCCCATTCCTCCTGGTACCTGCCACGTGGTGCAGAAAGAGAATCTGCACCTGGAGAGCACAGTGATTGTGGGACTTTGCATTTGCATATGGTGCTGCCCTGTCACAACAGAAGGTAACATGGGGCAGAGCTCAGCTGGTGCCCACAGAAAGAACATTTAGACGGCTCTAGCCAGAGGTTAATCTTCCATCTCAGCAGTTAGTATCTCAGTTCCAGCAAGCCCGGCCACCATGGGCTGAAGTGCTCGGGGGTCCTAAATATTGATAAAGGAGTCAATTCAGCAAGAGAATGTAAAATGTTTAAACATATGTCTATCCAACACTGGAGCATCCAGCAAATATTACTAGAGCTAAAGAGAGAGATAGACCCCATTACAATAATAGCTGGAGACTTAAAGACCCCTCTTTCAGCACTGGACAGAACACCCAGACAGAAAAATCACAAAGAAACACCATGCTTAATCTGCAACATACACCAAATGGACCTACTAGATATTTACAGAACATTTCATGCCATGACTGCAGAATACACATTCTTCTCAACACATGGATCATTCTCAAAGATAGATCACGTGTTAGGTCACAAAACAAGTCTTAAAGAGTTCCAAAAAAAAAATTGAAATAATATCAAATATCTTCTCTGATCACAGTGGAATAAAACTAGAAACCAATAGCAAGACACATGGAAATTAAACAACATGCTCTTGAGTGACGAATGGGTCAATAAAGAAATTAAGAAGGAAATTTAACAATTTCTTAAAATAAATGAAAATGGAAATACAACCTTCCAAAATGTATGGGATACAGCAAAATCTGTGCTAACAGGAAAGTTTATAGCAATCAGTGCCTATATCAGAAAAACAGAAAAACGTCAAATAAACAACCTAGTGATGCATCTTAAAGAGCTAGAAGAGCAAGAGCAAACCAAATCCAAAATGAATAGAAGAAATAATGATGATCCGAAGAGAAATAAATGAAATTGAAACAAAAAAATACAAAAAGATCAGTAATCCCAGCACTTTGGGAGGCCGAGGCAGGCAGATCACGAGGTCAAGAGATCGAGACCATCCTGGCCAACATGGTGAAACCCTGTCTCCACTAAAAATACAAAAATTATCTGGGTGCTGTAGTCCCAGCTACTCGGGAGGCTGAGGCAGGAGAATTGCTTGAACCCGGGAGGCGGAGGTTGCAGTGAGCTGAGATCGCGTCACTGCATTCCAGCCTGGCGACAGAGCAAGATTCCGTCTCAAAAAAAAAAAAAAGGTTTTTTGAAGAGATAAACAAAATCAAGAAACTTTTAGCCCAAGATAAAAAGGGAGACCTTACAACTAATACCACACAAATTCAAAGGATCATTAGAGGCTACTATGAGCAACTATATGCCAGTAAATTGGAAAACCTAGAAGAAATGAGAAGCCTTGTGGTAGTGTAGACATTACCCAGCTTCCTGGGCTTTTTTCACTTTGTGTTGAAGGACACACATTGGATGAGATATCACTCATCCTCAGGAGAGGGTTTAGTTTAATATTGACCATTCTTAGGAAGCTTCATTGGAGGAAAAAGAATATTTGAATTTGTACCTGACTCTTATTTCTGCCTAAGTCTTTCACCACAGTATATTCCAAGCTTGTACTATGATCTTCCCTGCTATTTAGTTTATATAACACTATTTTTTCAGACCTCAATGTAGCGTCTTTCATTTCCCTCCTACATCACCATGTCCACATTAAATCTCAGCTTCTGGAAAACAGAGGTGAGTTGCTAAATATGTCTTAAGCTCCCTTTAGCCACCATCTTCAATTCCTTATTCTCTTTGCCATCTTTTTTCCTCTCATTTTTAGTTGAAATACTAGAACTGATTTTCATAGAACCAAAGGTTTATAGGAAATAATGTACCATTAAGTGGCAGCTATAAAGACTCTTCATATTCAGCATATATAAAGTATATTAAAGATGTAGGCTCTGGATTATTTAATTTTATATTTTGTTTCTGTTTCATTTGCAATTTGGTATTTTCATTCTGTTTGGTGCCTTAGTTGAAGAATTGGAAAGAACATGAAAATCTCAAATCACATTTATTTGGCTCTTTCAGTTTCAGTGGGGGAAAAAATTGAAAATATCTGCTAAAATGACATGGTATACTTTCTAATGCAACCTAATTTTTATCTGCAGCTCATTTTTGAGATTTTAATTTAAGGATGTATGTGTGTATGGAGCGGCCAAGTAAGGCATATATACCATTTCCATTCTAAAAGCTTCATAATTTCTCTTAGTATGTGAGTTATTAATGCTTCCCCTAAAAGATAAATTCTTCCAGAACTCATTTTTCTCTAGTTTACATTCTCTGACATATAGCTATATCTGCACTGTTTCCCCTCCCTCACCTACCAATAGGCCTTTAATAGGAGGCAGCTATCGTCATTCATTGATATTATTGAGTGTAGTATGAAGTATTCCAGAATATCTCCATGTGACTATCCCTATTCTATGATGTAAGTGAAAGATTGATAAATTGCCAGAATTATGCAATTGACAGTTCTGTGTTTGAGAGGCAGAAGTCATAGCTTGCCGATGCTTTTGGTGCGGTATAGGTTGGTGGACCTCACTGCCCCAATTTTCTGCACTCTATCTAGGTTCTAGAAGAGATTCTTAACCACTTGCTGTTTATCATGCAGAGATTTGCTTATCAAAAATGCATACCATTTTCCATTGAGAAATTGTGTATCACTGCTTTGCAGCTAGTGATACTTAGGTTTATCAAATTCTATATTAACCAGTTATTAGACATTTTAAAACATACTTAGAGAATTTTTCATATTAATGTTTGTATACTTTAATTCCAGTAAGTTAAATATTTAGAAATTTTAAATATTTTGACCTGTATTACATCTCTTAATTTTATTAATCTTTTTATCAACAAGCTTGTGATGTCTGCTGTTAACTCTTAAATATCTTCTGATAACCATCAGCTTTTTAAAAATCATTTTGGTTTAAAGATTACTTTTTATTTGTTGAGTCATTAATAAAAATAAACTTTTATGAACAGCAAGCATCTGAGAAGAAAACGTTTGATATGCTAGAATGTCCCTGTATTGCCTGCTTTAGCGTGTGTGTTGGTGGGATGTAGATGCAAATACCCCCACAATGACCTTCCTCCAACCCTATGTAAATGTATTTACAGCATTGTAAAGGATTTCATTGTGCGAGTTTGTTTTCAGAATCATCTTTCACTCTTTTCTGAGTGTAATGATAGTAGCTGTCTCTATGATGAATTTTAGTAGTTGCTGATTACACTATACTTTCCTTAGTCCTGACCTGTGTTTCAAGCTCTGTAAGAATGGTTTTAGGTTTTTAAATTCCTTACTTGGAAATATTTTGCTATCATCAAATTTCATATTCTTTAAATTGTACATAATGAGTGTGTTCTCCCTTTTTAGGTGCGCTTTGTAAAGAATATAACTTCCTGGAAAGAGATGAAACCAGGATTTTATCATGGACACGTTTCTTACTTGGATTTTGCAAAGTAAGTTACACTAAAATGACACACTAAAGAATGCTTTGTACTTTAGTAACGTAAAAAGGAATAAATTCATTAAATTGTTAGGATTTTCTAATAAAAGAATGTACTGACTTGCCTTTGCCAGTTTTAGATCTGTAATTTAAATATATCTTCTTAGTGTTTTACTGCCCTCTAGTGTTCATAAATTGGCAATCCTTATATTAATTATATATTAAGTATTACTCTTTAAAGTTTATTATTGTATGTGCCTTGTACAACCAGAATGACACTACTTCAGGAGAGCTCAAGTTATAACCTAGAGGCCAGATTATAACTTACCACATCATTGACTGAGAAAGTAAAAAAGCTCTTACAAAGTTACTGGTGCTCCAGTGTGTCTGCTTCTCAGCCAAGACATAGTGAAGTATACACTTTCCCTTGGGCTACCTTATTTTAGCTTTTAAATTATGATGTGTTATGAGGCTTTTTTTTAAAAAAATTAATGATTTTCTCTTTCTCTCTCCCCCACAACCGCCCGCTTTCCTCTCTTTCCCTCCCTGTCACTCACTCTCTCACTAACTTCTGGACTCAGGTGATCCTTCTGTCTCAGTCTCCCAAAGTGCTGGGATTATAGGCATGAGCCACTGTGCCCGGCCTCTGTCATATTAATAGTTCTCTCAAGAAAGATTCAGAAAACTATACGCCTACTCACAGTATTCAAGCACTATGTGGCTTTCTGTAGAGTCTGTGCCATATTATTAATCAGAAAATTAATTAAACGTAATGTTCCAAACATAAGAGTCTTATGGATACATTTGAACTTTTTTGGTAGCACACATAGTACCATTATAGTAAACCTCAAATCCAAATGCTTTCCCTAAGATTCTTCATTAACTTCAAAAACACTAAAAAAAATTTTTTTATTATTTAAGCTTAGACATGTTCATTCAGTTTTTAAATTAGCTATTATGATTTCAGAGTAACACACCTTGATGTATTAGTCAACTTTAAAAGGCATTTTTTATAAAATTTAAAATAAAAGTGATATCCCACTCTCAGTTTTACTTCTTAATTTTGAAAAGAAAAAGTAGAATAAAATATTACTGATTAAAACTGATAATCTTAACTTTTTGGGAAATCATGTAATTAAAAAAGAATCACCCAAATATTACATACATAAAATGATATATTCCTATTTCTAGTTCCTCTCATAGTACTCAAGATCTTTCAATAAAATTGTAGCTTTAAAGTTAGATGTATGTTTTTCTATAAATAATTCATACTGCAATATTGAAAATATTTTATAGCCAGCTTTAAAATAAACTAATTATTTTTTTCTTTGCATAGGCATTGAACCAATTTCATAAGCTTCGTTCATGTGCATATTTTCCCTCAGGGCTGCGTTATCCTTGAATTAAATGTTTGTTACCCTTTCACCTAAATGATTTATTTTTTCCACACACAGCTTGGTTTCTAATAGTCTAGGTTTTCATTATTAAAATTATATATTGAATGCTTTTGCTTTTGGCAAAGTCTTGTACTTAGAACAAAACTCTGATATATGCTGAGGTTCTTGTAGTTGAAAAAAATAAAGCTTTTTGAAGAGATTAATCTCATTTATTAAATGCTGACGTGAATTTTTAAGGGTTGGAATACTTTCGTAGTGAGTCTTAAGTTATTTGAAGGGAAAAGTATTGTGAAAATTTTTCATAGATTTTTCCAAGATTTTAAACAAATACCTAAACAAAATCAGCCTAGGTGAAATGTATTTTGATGTATCTGTGTAGTCAAGAACTGTTGTAGATGTAACTAGTATCCTCAAATATCTTTTAGCTTAATAGCCATATGCTCCATAAATGGGGAAGGAGAGGAAAGAAACATCGCCTTACCAATTTTTAAATTACAGTCGTCCCTGGGGTATGTCCAGGGGATTGGTTCTTGGACTGCCTGAGTGTATAAAAATCACATACGCAAGTCCCTTCGTTGGCCCTGTGAAACCCACAAATTTGAAAGTCAGCCCTTCTTGTACACAGGTTTCACATCTCTCAAATACTGTATCTGTGTCTGGTTGAAAAAAATCTATGTATGCGTGGACCTGCACAGTTCAGACTCGTATTGTTCAAGGGTCAGTTGTGCTTTATTCTTCAAAACAATATTCTTGACTGGCATAGTACTTTGTGGAGTCCACTAAAATACTTGCTTTCAAGAGAAAGTGGTGAATTTGGCAAAATACTTATTTAAACACATAGTTTTTTAAAACTTACTTTAGCAGAGACATTAAAACAAGTGTAAGCCCCAAGAAACCTAGGAAATAAGATAGAGAAATAAAAAATGAAAGCTCCTTTCTAGTTTAGCCTGACCAAAATACACATTATATTCGCAAGCTTGTCTATTCAAGCCATGTTTTGATTACATATATTTGTTTTTTACTGAACTTTAGAATAACAAAAATATCTTTTTTACATTTTTGCATTCCTATCCCATCTTGCTCCTTTTTGTCTGAATCTTATTCTTTGATTTTTTAGAAGTATATTTCCTAGTTCTTCCTTTCTATTTTTTCCCTTTAATGTTAGGTTATGTTTTGTTTTCTTTTTAGTTGGGGGATGATACAATTTTAAGATAATGTAGATATAAATTATTATAAATTTGAAAAATTTCCAGTTTAAAATTGTATGTAGGTTGAACATTTTCAAAATGTCATAGTATGCAGGAAATATAAAGTTGAATAAGTTGCAGTTCTTGAACTTAATGAGTTCACTGAAATCTTTTTTTCTGTAACTATCAGTTCATTATGTTTTATTATAAACAGTAAAAATATTACGTATTCCTCCCCTTTTAAATGTATACTATTCATTTTTTAATAGCATCTATTATCCCATTTTGATTTTCTTCAAACTTTAGAAAATTAAAATGTTAGAAGTTCAAAAACACTTCTTCGGTAATAAACATTTTCATTTATAATGAATAATAGCTAAAAGAACACTTTTAATGCTGTACTTTCTGTCAGACTCTGCTAAGATTTTTTATGATCTAACTACCTCAGTGTCACATGTCAGCATCTGTCTTGAGAGGTATTTGAAAATTATTTTTGATATAACAGTTTTATTCAGGCATATATCAGGTATGTACCTTTGTGGTTGTCCCCAGAAATGAGAATGAGTTTTCACTGCTGTAATTTTGGTTTCTTCATATTGCCTCTAGTATTATTTTCAGAACAAATGAAGTGAATCAGTAAAGAAGCAGCTATGTCGCAACAAGAAACAACTAAATGCTTCATTAGGTCTGAAATTCTAAACAGTAATCAAGTGACATTTTAGGCCTAAATAGAATTAGTTAATATATAGAATCATGTGAGATTGTCCTTTCTACCTAATACTTCTCTGCTAAACCAGATGACGTTTGCCCCATTTTCTACAACTTTTAACAAATATGTCACAACATTGTAGATACTATAGAAAATTATTTTAATCATTCCAGACAATATGTGGGATTGCATTTTTATTAACCTTGTACTACTAGCTCTTTCTACAGCATTGATCCTGTAGACTGCTAAGAGCGAACTCTGAAGTCTGTCTCTGAAATCAGACAGATCTGCCATTAAATCCACTTAGACTCCTTGCTAACTGTGTGATCTCAGCCACATTGTTTCAGATCTTTGATCTTCAGTGTCCTGTTTTTAATTTGAGAATAATTAAAATAATTAATTCATGGGGTGGTGGTGAGGATTAAATGTGATAATGTAGATGAAGCACTTAGTTCTGTGCCTCAGAGCAGTATTATGATTCCTACTATGATTCTTTTTAAAATTCTGTCTTCTTACAGTTAGCATATTGTCTTAACTGGTATTTTCTTCTTCTTGTCTGAATCTCTGCTGGTCCTTATTTCCAGCTCTTAGTTAGGCATTGTATAAGACTCTTTCTTGGCCTCCATTATTCTCTTTTGGAAGGTTTACACATTTTAATCTGTCATGACAACCAAACAAGAAACTTTCAAGTAATCTTGGACAACTTTTTTTTTATCACCACCTATATCTTATCAGTCATCAAGTCTTTTGAGTGTCTTCTTTCATTTAACATGATGCTTTTGATGACATTCATCTAATTTGATGCACAATATCAGTACTATTTTGCTAAATAGTACTTCATGTATGAGTATACTTCGATTTTTTTTTTAATTCTTGAAAGTCAGTTTCTTATTTATTATTTATTTATTTATTTTATTATACTTTAAGTTCTAGGGTACATGTGCACAATGTGCAGATTTGTTACATACGTATACATGTGCCCTCTTGGTGTGCCGCACCCATTAACTCGTCATTTACATTAGGTATATCTCCTAATGCTATCCTTCCCCCCTACCCCCTCCCCACAATAGGACCCAGTGTGTGATGTTCCCTTTCCTGTGTCCAAGTGAATCTCATTGTTCAATTCCCACCTATGAGTGAGAACATGCAGTATTTGGTTTTCTGTTCTTGCGATAGTTTGCTGAGAATGATGGTTTCCAGCTGCATCCATGTGCCTACAAAGGACACAAACTCGTCCTTTTTTATGGCTGCATAGTATTCCATGGTGTATATGTGCCACATTTTCTTGATCCAGTCTGTCACTGATGGACATTTGGGTTGATTCCAAGTCTTTGCTATTGTGAATAGTGCCACAATAAACATACATGTGCATGTGTCTTTATAGCAGCATGACTTATAATCCTTTGGGTATATCCCCAGTAATGGAATGGCTGGATCAAATGGTATTTCTAGTTCTAGATCCTTGAGGAATCGCCACACTGTTTTCCACAATGGTTGAACTAGTTTGCAGTCCCACCAACAGTGTAAAAGTGTTCCTATTTCTCCACATCCTCTCCAGCACCTGTTGTTTCCTGATTTTTTAATGATGGCCATTCTAACTGGTGTGAGATGGTATCTCATTGTGGTTTTGATTTGCATTTCTCTGATGGCGAGTGATGATGAGCATTTTTTCATGTGTCTGTTGGCTGTATGAATGTCGTCTTTTGAGAAGTGTCTATTC